CCTAGGGGCAATTTAGCATCACCAATTAGCCTGACTACATGTCTTTGGACTGTGGGAGGAAACCGAAGTACCCGGAGGAAACCCACACAGACACAGGGACAACATGTAAACTCCACACAGAAAGGACCCTGGTCGCCCGGCCGGGGAATCGAACCCAGGCCCCGAATTGTTTAATTCAAATGAAATGTTCAATTGTATTTTTAATGAAATCAATAGAATTAAGGAATAGGGGTCATTTAGAGTAAAAGGATTTTAGTCTAAAGTTCAGGTCAGTAAAGGAAGATACCAATAGAATGGTAGAATGATCCATGAATATACATGTCATTGGATTGGAGAAGAGGCTCACGGAAGGCACGCTACCCATTTTAAGTGACAGTTATTGTTCTTTATGTTGTTGTTTGCTGGGTTTGAGGTGCGTTCATGTGTTTTTTGTGCTTATTCTGTTGGGGTGTAGGTTCAGTTAGTGTGGATTGCGTTTACTAGGAAGAAATGATGGCCTCACCTGTCTCTTATTCTGAGGAACACCACAATATATTACCCTTTGAATGGCCAAAAATTGTTATTTAAATTTCATTACAAGTTACAAGTGATGAAGATTTTTCTCCTTCTCCTGAATAGTTACCATCTTGGAGATACAGTGTGTTCCTCCAACAGTGTATGTGGCATAATAAATTTAAAGATTATGTAAATGCTGCATTTAAGACACTCTTTCTGCACTCCGAGTTAAATCTCACTGCTCTCATTCCTTTTCAGAGGGTGGGATTCCTCTCTTGGCTGGATTGGTCGGGTTTTATTGTCTGCAGGATTTCCCCTTTTGCTGGGACAGTTCCTTCCCTCTCCTGCTGGCCAGCTCTGTGGAGACCCTTTCTGATTCATAAAAACACCTTCAAAGGTCATTGTATAGGATCCAGGCTCATATAGAATATATAGTATAGTACAGTACTTCACCACCAGATGCACAATAAAATGCCCACTTCTTGCTACAACAGAGCCTTTTTAATGCTACCACTTAGATGTGATTGAACAGGCCTTTTCATTCAAGATGCACAGATCAGAAAGGTTTATCAGTCAGCACACATGGATAACACTAACTAAAACCGATTCAACACAACCGAAGCATGGCGATTTCTTCCTTATATATGGGCTGATGTAACTGCCATGTTTTAAAATTTACAGTAAAATTTCATACATATCAAAATGCACACTGCATATGGTCTGCTGTGGGAATTCTGTCCATCACTGTTTGATGCAGCCCAGCACTACATTCTGTGTTGCAGATTGAGCCTAACATTTAATTGGAAAGTGTTCTTCTTATTGTGGATTAAGCTGTCTGTTTGACTCATACATTCTGCTAGCTCTGAGATACTAAACCGTCTGTATGTCTTATAATGCTTGGTGGACAAGTTTGTTGTCAATATAAGTCTAAAAATGATCTCACAATAACCAAATTGTATTTAAACACATACAGAGCGCTAATACAAGCAAATCGTTTTATTTCCAACATATCTTCTAAAGTTAAAGTCTTGTTGTGAAAGCGGGGCTAGCTTGCTAGCTGTGTTTTGTTAGATTAGATTCTAGATTCTGTTAGATTTTAGGCAGTCTAGTGCGGATTGTGCAGACTGTTCTAAACTCATGAACAGAGATGTGATCCGGTTCTAATGACACCTTCAAGCTTTTAGCAGTTACTCTAAAGTTCCTTTTTATTTCATTGAACATTTCACTCAACATTTTGTCTGGCTATAACCGTTTCTAGCTTTACGCAAATCAATAGTTATTGATCGTAGGTTTCCTGAGATCTCTATTTTATGAGGCACAATTCACATTCTTATAGTTCTAAGCCACACCTCCAATATCATTTCATTGATTGGACCTCAGGTTTGCTAACCTCTGACTTCAGTGAATGTTTGAATGATGTATTTGATATGGATAAGAACAATTATAAGAAATTATAAGAAAATATTCAAGATGCAAAATACAGAGGGTCCTGGGCGGTCCCCTAATTAACCTCATGGACCCCTGAATCACAATCAAATTTCTGGGGGGTGGGGTCTCTGAAAACTTATGACGTTAGGCTGTTCATAAGGGGTAAATTATACAACAGTTAGTTCCGGGCACGCATTGATGGTTGAGAAGCGTTCTAATTGTGAGGTTATTTCGCCATAACAGCACGGTTTTTCACAAACACTGTACCACGCTGCTGAGATGCCGTTGCTAAGCAACGACTTTGACAGCTGTAGGAGACGCTCAGGCCGATTTGGTCAGACTCTGAAGATGAGATTACGCGTTTGACGAATGGTATTCGGTTCATTTCTGGCTGATTCCAGGCTGTTTATGTGTTCTTCTGTCACAGCTGCCAACTGAAAAGCTTGCTCAGTGGTAATGACAGTTTTGGAATTCAGTGTAAGGAGCTAGAGAACGAAACTGCCAGCTGTGCAGCGAGTGAGCGGAGTTAGTTACTCTGATGTAGCAACAAGCTGCTTGTTAAGGAACTATAATTTGGCGGAAGGAACTGCCAACATTAAAACATATTAAATGCCACATTCATGGCCCAATTTATTTATTTCTTACTTTATTTATTTAAGTATTGTTTAAAAGCAATAGAACACGAGAGGGAGTGTGAATAAAATCATGGCTGTGATGATCTATGTGACCAAATCACAGCAGTGATTTTATTTAGCGCACTCCCTCTCGTGTTCTATTGCTTAAATAGTCGCTCAAACACAAATTCAGGTAAAGCTCATCGTTTAGCTGCTAAACAACAGTCAGTGAGCTTCTGTCTTTGATATTCTTAACTAACTAGAGATGCAGCACTGGTCTGTGGGTGGTGCTGTAGCAAATTGATTCACCCACTTGGTCCTTTATAGCCTAGCAACTGGAACTATGCCTGAGATACCTCTGAAAACCTTTACAGTATGCCACAGCATATTTATAAACCTGAAGGCTTGCCCAGCCTCCCAAGAGATTGATTGGGAAGGTGAACTGTTATTCATTTCTCAAACTGAAGACAAAGGAGATAATGTGTGGAAGAGTGCATTATCAAACTAGAAATGATCATTTCCAAAAGAAGAATTGTTAAACCACAGCACTGCTATTGCAAGTGAGTTAGCAGCCAACGTGGGACTCCCAAATAGGGGGTGTTTTGCACACTGAGTGTATTCTTTTTTGTACTATTAGTTAGCCAATATATTAGTTAGCCACAACCTCCTGAGCAGGACCGTCCTCTGTCTCATGAGCACTTTTTGGTAAGTGTATCAGGAGACCAATATAAAAGAAATATATGCATAACTTTTCTTTTGTGAACTTTCTAGATGTATTTGCATTAAAATCGTATTAATTGTATTGTGTAACACTGTAAGGTGCCATTGTGCCTTTTTTGCTAAACTCACCATAAAATTAAAAAAATTACAAATAATTAATAAAGGTTTTCTATAAACAATTGATCAGATCCCATTAACCAAATGTTGTACATTTAACTATAAAATGGGTAGCAATGTGAATTTCAGTTAATGACATATTCGTAACAGCATGCCATAAAATGCATATACAACAAATGTGAAGAACAACACTGATGCTCAGCTCATCGCTCATTAATATGTTCACTATTGAGAACATGTCCACTCCTAAGGAGGATATGTGCTTTACTAAGAAGGACATGCCCACTACTAAGGAAGTTACGTCCACTACTGAGGTGGACATGTCCACTATTAAGAAGACCATGTCTACTACTGAGGATGATATGTCCACTTCTGAGAAAGACATGTCCACTACTGAGGAGGACATATCCACTACTGAGGAGACCGTGTCTATTCCTGATTAGATTGTTCAGTTTGACCGTCCCACAGAAGAGCTCAGTAACACTGAGAAACATAAAGGACTTATCACATTGATTTGTCAGTCTACTCAGGCTTTAGCAGAAACTTTAGTGTTTGTAAAGAAGTCATTTGTCGAGTTCCTCTTTAGAATCAGTCTAATGAGCATGTTTGATACATGCTATGCACTGATTTTAAAATAATTAATAAACAAGCATTTATAGATAGATAGATAGATAGATAGATAGATAGATAGATAGATACTTTATGGTATTTATGACATTTTTAAAAACTCTTTTTTTATTTAGTGAGTATTCTAAAAGTATTCTTCTAAAAATGTAAAAAACGTAGCTGTACTCTGAATACTGCCTTTTCAAAAAAGTAACATGGATTGAATACACACACATACACACACACATACACACACACACACACACACACACACACACACACATCTTCTAAGCCGCTTGTCCTTCTGGGTCGCAGGGGGAGCTGGAGCCTATCCCAGCAGTCATTGGGTGGAAGGCAGGTCACCAGTCCATCGTAGGGCTGGATGAATACTGATATTCAATTTTTTGTATTCTGAATCCATATTCAAAATTCCATTATGTTCCAGTCATGTTCATAGTTCATACAAAAACCTAAAGATATGATGTCCCTCAACTATTATACTTGCAGTTGTCTAATGTATTGCAGTTGTCTAATGTACCATTTTACAACTGAACTAACTTCAGTTCTGTGCCTCATGGAATCAACATCACATTGTACTTTAGAAGTACACATTTAGTACCAATTATTTAAAAAAAAAAACAAACAAACATAAGACTGTTCCTTCAATTTTGATGAACAGCATGTCTTAAAGCTGAAGCAGAGTTTATAAAGCTTAAAACCACTTAAAACCAGTTGGTACCACTTAGCTGAAGGTACATATTACAGACTGTTATAAACACTAAAAGTTTTTGTTTATATGCTGTATTCTAGTAGATCCCTGTCTTAAGCACATCCCTCTCTTAAGCACATTCATATTAGCCTAGCCGCTAAGACATGCAAAAGTGGAAACAAGACGCGCCGCCCCCTTCTATTCAGACCAATGAGAACGCTGGTGGGGCGGGGTTTGGATCAGAATCCGCCCACCCAGAACTTGCGCTCCTGCAGCGAAGAGCGCATTGACTCAGACTGACAGGCTGCCTTTCGGTGTGTGCGGTCGTGTCGGAGGTCCTGTGGGATGTGAGGCGCTCCGGTGGATCTCACAGCTTCTGCAGCGAGGTGATGTGACTTCTGTGGTCGGCGTGGACGCTGTATCAGCCGGAAGAGCTCTGCTGTACTTATCCGAGGTGATATATCTGCCTTTGGATGATTTTGTCCCACTCTGCTCCAACTGACCGGCTTGTGTGGACTGTTTTTCGTGATTTCGGATTTCGTGACTCCTCGCAGCTCTTTCGCGGATGCACTGGAGGTGGACGTAAATTCTTTTGCATGATTCATTGATGAACACTGCAGAGTGAGCCATAACGTTTCAAGGACGGAAACCCACAGGCATCACGCTTACCGGCAACTGTGGAAACGAACCGAGTGGCTCGCCAATCTTACTCGTGAACGAGTCGCTGCTCTGAACCGATTCTTTACTGAAACTCGATCGAACCGATTCACAAATTGAACCCAATCGAACCTTTCTCTGCAGCACCTGCCTAATGTTTACGCCTGTCTCTATAGGCTGAAGACTTCTAATAACATTCACAAACACAATATAGCCTTATAAAATAATAGCATAAAATACTATATTGTGATATTCAGAACAGCCTGTTTGAGTTCGCTTACATATTCTCTCTTTGGATTGTGACCAGCTTATTATTATTATTAATTAATTAATTTTACAGCTTGTGTGTTCCAAGTGAAGGACTCTGATTCATCTGCTGAATCGACTCAGTGCAGGTTGCTATATACTGAAGAAATGGGAATACAGTTGACTCGTGAATCAATGAATCGCATGTTCGATTAATTGAAAGACTCGTTTCGGTGAACTGAGCCAAACTTCCCATCACACTGCGAGCTACTTTAAGAGCAAATAAACTGTCATGTCGTTGAGCAGAAGTATAGAGTGGGAGCATTTCGAGGAGCGCGAGAAGACGCGGCGGCCGTCGCGGGGCAGTGGGGGGTCCCAGGCCGGGGCACGCGGAAACGGATCTGTGCCGAGTCCCGCGCACAGCGCGCACTGCAGCTTCTACCGCACGCGCACCTTGCAGTCGCTCACGACGGAGAAGAAAGCGAGGAAAGTCCGCTTCTACCGAAATGGGGACCGCTACTTCAAGGGCCTGGTGTACGCGGTGTCCAGCGACCGGTTCCGCTCTCTGGACGCGCTGCTCATGGAGCTCACGCGCTCACTGTCGGACAACGTGAACTTGCCGCAGGGAGTCCGGTGCATTTACTCTATAGACGGGACCAAGAAGGTGACCAGCTTAGAGGACCTACTGGAAGGTGAGAGGAAAACAGACTTGGATGACATTTAGGGACCTTTTGCATGAGAAAAACTTTGAAGGGGAATTTCACCGTTTTTCCCCAAGTTTTCTGATGGATTCAATTGTTTAGATGTGAACAGTCAATCAGAGTAGTTTGATGTGAAGTGGTTCATTACAGAGAAACTTCAGAGAAACATCAAAAGACTCTCACATCTTAAAATTGTGTAGCAAATTTTAAAAAAATGGTGGAATTCTCCTTTAAGAAGCTTGATTTTAACTCATTAATTCATTCACTCTTTCACTCACTCACTCGCTTACTCACTTACTTTATTCATCGTCACTCACTTGATTACTCTCTCATTCATTCATTCACTCACTCACTTACTCACTCCCTTATTCCCACACTGGTTTAATGTCTCATTTACTTATCATTTGCTCAGTCTCACTCACTCACTCACTCTCTCATTCCCTCACTCACTCACTCACTAGTTTACTCTCATTCACTCATTCAGTTACACCACTCACTCATGCACTCCCTTATCCACACACTGATATAATGTCTCATTCACTCGTTCATTTAGTCACTCTACCACACACTCACTCACTCCCTTATTCACACACTAGTTTCCTCTCTCATTCCCTTATTCACTTACTCCCTCCCTTTCTCACTCACTCACTCACTCACTCACTCACTCACTACCACGCATTCCCTTATTCACACTCTAGTTTACTCTCTCATTCACTCATTCAGTTGCTCATGCATTCATTTTCTCTCTTCAACTCTTCAATTCTTTCACACTTTATCATTCATTCACTCCTTCATGCACTCACTTACCCCCTCACTCACTCCTTGACTTATTAATTCCCATTTAGCAGTGTGTAGACTTTTGTTGAAATAGTTAAAATGTCTTAAGTACCCTTACAATACTCACTGGTGAGAAGATTGACTAAATATTTTCCTGCATCCCCAACACTTTTCTCCCTTAGACATGTATTATAGCCCATGTCTTGCTGTTGGCCATGCAGTTTCAAGAGCCAATGCTAAGTTACCTTTCTATCTTTTGATGTAAGATAGAATGTATTGTTTTCTGATGTATCAGATTGCCTTTTTGGATTGTTGTTGATTAACAAAAACATGATCCAGACTTGCTAAGCAGCATTACTCTGTATGGTAGTAATTGCCAGACTTTATGAGCTGACTTTGAGGCTGAACTCACTAATTCCCAAAATTCCATTACGGACTGTTGGAATAAACATGGCAGAGCTCCAGTGGCTGTGGTGCTTCTAGCATGCTAGCTTGCTACGTTGACCTGGCCCACAAATGTTAATCTAGGCTAGATAACAGAATTTATTTCAAAGTGTCAGTGTTAAGAGTTCAATAAGGATTAGTCCATAGCATGTGAAGTCACAAAATGGGTTGAAAAATGCGGAGTCTAGGACTGTCCTAAAAAAATGTTTCTAGGATAGTCAGCTCTTCAAGGGCTACTCTATTAAAGTGAGGTTTTGCATCTTTCACACTGAGAGATCTTGTTAAAGTATTGTTAGGTTCCAAAGTAAATGCATTTGTACAAAATTGTGGTATACTTCTTCTTTTGGGACATTTTTAATTGGGAATTCCATTGGTTTCACAAAATTAAGATGAACAAAAACAAAGTAATTCAGAGTGATTTTATATGTAATGCTCTGTTCTGGAGAAACTTAGTCAGAGTTGTTCACAGTGGTGATGATAGGAGCCAAATGTTTGTTGAGTTTAACTACCACTAAAGCTACATCACAGAAAGCTAATACATGAGACAGTTATGAATACATATATGCCTGATGCCTGAGACATTGTTTCACGATAATTCTGAGATAGGCTTTTGAGCTAAAACACATTTTTTGAATGTATTCTTGGCAGAGGGCAAAAAACATGTACAATTTTATGTAGCACTACCATTACAAATGTTACTTAAAACTCAGAAGATATGTGCAGGTCTGCTAGATGTTAAATGTTCTGCTCGCACCTTTGTGCTCTTGATTGTGCGTAGGTTCTGTTCTTACCTATTTCGTTCTTACTTAAGAACAAATCCCAATTAAAGAAAACACTGGTGAATGTCAGAATCTTTGTGAAAACTGAGAAAGTGGGTTTAAAAAAGAAATTTCTTCTTAAGAGCGGTTGGTGAATGAGGCCCATTGTGTCCTCTGATTCCTATCCCACCACTGTAAAAATTTGAGTCAGAAAGTTTCTCTACAATTCAGCATTTCACATCAAACCACGTTAATGACTTTCATTAACGTCTGAAATAACATCAACATCTCAAATATGGAGAAATATTGAAATATCAGTGGAATTCCCCTTTAAAAACAAAAGTGTCGTGAATGTTTCTTTGAAGCGATGGCACTTTTATTTCAGCGGTTGAACTGAATTGAATTTTCTCATGAAAACATCCACTAAAAGGCTCTTTACGGAATATGAATTCTTCTATGGCATTGCTTCAAGGAAACCTTTTTAAGAGTGAACGGTGGCTCAGGTACACCACATGGAAGTGTAATTATCACATATTAAAGAGCAAATATTTCCTGAGTAAGTCTTTGCTTTCAAAGTGCCACAGCTGAAAGAGTTTTAGATGACACAGGAGTCAGAGACCTTCAGGAATGACCCTGGAATGCAGGGCCCTTGACTGCTATTGACTATCTTAATGTGTAGCTGGTTCAATGGCATTGATTCATGGCCAGGGAGCAGCTGTAAGTGCCAGTGAGTTTTTGATGTGCCGGGTGTTCATTGGCTGTGAAAGTGGTCCTTTTAGAGTGATGATTTCCCAGAGGCATGCTCTCCTCGCCATCCATAGAGCGCTTTCCACATGCACATTTTTCCATAAGCAGTAAGTGCTGTGCTTCTGCTTCCATTGACCAACTGTCTGAAAATGACTGTAGGTCACCATTGATCATATTTGTAATCGAGTAATCTGATGATTATTTTGATGATTAATGAAGTTTAAAACAAAACAAAAATAAAAATAAGTGAACAAACCATCCATAATCTTTCAGATGATTTTATTGGAAAAGTCTTTAAAAGGACTTCATTAGATTTGAAGGACATTTCAAACCGATATTTGATTACTTATTTATTGTAGTCTTTAAGAGCAGAATGTTTAGGCAACACTGGGCTACTTTAAGATATTAACTTTAAAATATCTGTATTTGTGTTGTATTTGTGAAATACACTTCAAATAGTACAGATCAAGACATTTTTAGTTAAAGTTTTTACATATTGGTAAGTGTTTATGTATTGGCATAGCCAGATATACAAATGAAACATATTGGATATTAACAAGTGCCATATCAGTGCATCCCTACCCACATCTCCTGTTCTCTCCTATTCTTGCTTTGGCTTTAGCTTCAGTTGGTTTCCTAGCATAGAGCTGCAGTCACAGTAATAAGTTAATCTTACTGACAAGTTGCAGTCTGATCACTGTAATCCTCTTTGGTCACCAAGGGTCAGACCCAAAACGGCATCTCTCTAACTCTCTCTTTCTCTTTCTCTCTCTCTCTCTCTCTCTCTCTCTCTCTCTCTATTGAGTTTTTATTCACTCATTCTTTTTAAGTCCTTTATTAGAATATTTGTAACAACCGACCATTTACCATTAAAACGATACTGAAACCATGAGTATCAACTGATACCCATACCAATATTACACGCGTTACATCTTTAAAACCTAATAAGAAGGGGTGGGCAATATTATATTATGATACTTCAAGACATTTTCATAATACATAACACGCATCACAATATTTAGTTTTTCTACAATTTAAGAAGTTGGAACAAACAAAAAAGGACCTGTGGTGCCAGATATAAAACTTCTGTAGTAATAATAACAATAATAAATCTAAAATTACAATGATTTTTATTCAATGTTTTACAAACTGCACTGCATTAAATCCAATTAAACTAATGCTCACTTTGTAAGAGACATGTAGTTGGTCAGTGTTCTTTAAGTACTGACCAAATCTGTGACATGCTCAGAAAAGTGTATTGTGATCTAATTTATCACAAAAATGAAAATTATTGCCATAGTGCCCATCCCAACTATTGCTACAACTGTTTTAATCATAGCACTTCACTTAAGATGAGCATTTAAAAGTAGGCTATCATCCTCAAACTTCTCAAACGCTCTACTAACAGTTATTTTTCATCTGATATCCAGTCCAGCACTTTCTGCTTATCTAGTATATGTGCTGCTGTAGCAAGCATTATTGCATGTGTTTGCCATCATTTTCCTGTTTGACAGATCTATTTAATTTGTCAAACCCAGTCAAAAAGCAGACGTAGTCAGATGGGGGCAGTTAAATGCAGTGTAATGTGACAATGGCTGTAATAACCTGAACTGGTCATGATTGTTGTTGTGTGTGTGGGGGGTGTGGTCCTGGCCTGCAGCATGGGCTCCACGTGTCTGTCTGCTGTCGTCTGATTGTCTGCACAGCAGAAGTGCACAGCTCAGCAGCTCGCTCCACACACACAGCAAGCTCTGGACACCTTTTTGTTTAGTGTGTGGATATAGCCTCCACACACTAGCAATAAAAATCCTTAGCTTGACAATTCGGTGAAGAATTTATCATAACATCACACCAAAAATGTTGAAAATTTTGGTGGTTTTTGGGGGAAAGAAATGCAAAATATAGTATTGCAATGTAGTTTTTATCACAGATTGTAAAGCACAAAACCTGTAATACAAAAATATAAAATAAAATATATTCCTCATATAAATAATCATAATAGGACATTATAGAAAGCTAATGGAAAGCTCGTGCCATGGAAAAATGTAATATAACATAAAATATTCTATTTGTACAAAAAAATTAACCAAAATGATTATTTAATTTACAATTGAAAATATTTTGTTGTTAAATATAGTCACACAAAAAAGTTTGAACACCGACAAATTACATTTTGTTGATTTTCTAAGTGAAAATGATTAACACATCCTGTACAAGGAACAAACTTAAACATGGCATTTTTTCACAAATTTTAGTGCATAATTT